AGAGTTTATTACAGCAACGAAAGCGACTAAAGAGTTTCTGTTATTAATATTTATTAGTAATTAATAATTAATTACTTTTATTTTATTTTTTAAATGATTTATTTGGATTTAATTGCTTTTATTGTTATTTTTAAATGATTTGTTTTATTTAATTGAGTGCTAGATTAATTGTCTTATTTTAATTAAGTTATATTTCATGATTATGTATGATGACTGATTGAATTGTTGGCGTGTTGATTTTATTGGTATGATGTGACTTAGTTGTACATTCTTATTTGTTTATATACTTCATGTAATTAGTTATTTTAATGTAAGTGTTTATTTAATTATTTTATTTATTTAAATTAATTGGACTGGGCTTAAGGGAAATTGGACCAAAAGATATGGTCTTGGGCTTGAATGAAGCTTTATTGGGTTAATTAATAAAGCTCATGGTATTGTGATTATTTAAATAATCATTTTTATGTATAATTATAAATATAATTAATTAATTAGTGTTATGGTAGAATATATATATAGATATATATTTATGAATATATATAGGTATATATGATTTAATTAATTAATAATTAATTATGGAAGGAAATATGCATATATATATTATACAAAATATGCGTGTCTAGATATTTATACTAGTTAAGGATTATTAGTTTCTTTTTATTTAGTAGTTATTAGTGGTATAGGATTAGGTATTAATGTGTATAAATATACACTTAAGGTTTTATCGATAAGAGTTTTGTCACGTTAGAAAAATAAGAGAGACAGAAAGCGAAGAAGAGAGGGCTGACAAGGAGACAGCCGGACCTAGGAGAGAGGATGCCAAAATTGAAAGAGACACTCAAGCCTTGAAACGTCGATTTCATTTCGAAACCTTCAGACGAGTTTTCACTATCTTTCCTCTTAGAACTCATAAATATTTCACCTTGAGTATCAATATTTTAATTAAATTTATTAATTAAATCATAGTTAGATCTGATGAATTAAAAGTATGAAATATTATGTTTTTAATTATTTTGGAATTTTGGGTTTTAATTTATACATATATGTATTGTATCTATTTTAAAATCAATCTATAGGTTAATCTTGGACCCAATATGATTAATTAGGGTTTCTAGAGTTTCTGGAATTTTTCTGTAATTTTTGGAATTTTCTAGATATTTTTCTGGATTTATTTTATATTTTTCTGAATTTATTAGAATTAGTTGTATAATTATTTAAGGGCTTAAATTATAACTTTTGTATACTGGAGCCTAATTAGTAAATTGGTGTATGCATAACGGAGGGGGTTACTGTGCGGCGCGGCTCACAGAGCTACGGTGCGCCCAAATCAGGACCATTAGATGGTCCTGATGGGCAATGGAATGATCCAATGTGGGCGTGTATGCATGGGAGGGGTGTACACCTGATCTAGACCGTAAATGGAGTTGATAGATGGAGGAGGATGATCTTGTACGGTGCGGTCCATGAGGAGTAGTGCACATGCAAGATCTGAATGCTGGATATAGTCAAATGGTGGAAGATGGATTCAGTGTGACGCGGCTCACCAAAAGGGGAAGTATCAACCAACCAGAAGCAGCCACACATGCGCTGAGAGTGGATCAGGCGCGTGCGAGCGCGTGGTAGCGTGTGGATGCGCCTGCTTGTGTAAGCTGGCGCGTGGAAGCGCATGCAGTGAATGTTAAAGAGTTTGGCGGTGCGTAGGGCACGTGAGGCACTGTTTGGGGTTTCGGCAGGTTGCTGTATAGTCCGGGGATGTTCCAGAATTGGTTTTAAGCCTCTTGGGGTTGAAAACAACCATTAGAGGAGGTGTTCATGGTGTCCTAAAAGCCACAGAGTGTTACTATAATGATTAGTATAATTTATTTTGCATAAATATAATAACTTATGATATTGGAATGTGGTGTATGTATGTATATATATAATTATACATATATATATGTGTATACATGGATTTTATTAAATTATAATTAGTATGGAAGGAAGGATATATATATATATATATATATATATATATATATATATATATATATATATATATATATATATGATTTAAATAATCAAGGATTATTAGGGAAAGATTATACACATATATATTATAATAATATATGTGTATATATATGTATGTGAACTAAGATTATTAGTATTATTTTTCTTATTTGATATATTTGGATAGACTGGTTAGTAAATTAGGAATGTGCTTTATAATCTGCATGAGATATCTATGTATAAATTAGTTGCCGTTGAGCCTACAATTTGTACATGGGATGAGTTGTCATAGACTTAAATATATTGCCTAAGTATTTGTATGAATAAAATACATACATAGGAAGTATGGATGAGTTGCTAGTTAATTTGTATAAATATATATACTTGTAGAGGTATGGTTGAATTGTCAAAAGTATAAATAAATATACTTAAAGAGGCATGGTTGAGTTGCCAATATATAAATAAATATATTTACAATGGCATGGTTGATTTGCCAAGTGTAATTATATTGCTATTTGTTAGATGATTAAAATATATCATCTGTGATTATTGTATGTATAAGTTGGATTAGGATTAGATATTATTAAATTAGAATAGTTTAGTACTTACGGGTTAGTGTATTATTTGATACATATTAATAAAATAATACTGGTGGTGATATGGATGATTTGTCAAAGCCTAGATATTGACTGTGTGATTTAAATACTTAAAATCATTATTGGTTTTGGAATTAAATATAATGTTCTCTTAATTATATTTTATTGTTTAAATTATTAAATTATTTAAAATGGAATTAAGGTTAAAATGTTTCTCTTTAAAAGAGAAGGAGATTGTGGATTGGTTGAGGTAGGATTATGTTTTAATCATGACTTAATGGTTTTGAAAATTAATGAACATATTAAGGGAAGGGAAGGTTATAATGTATATAATTATTTATACATATGTGTATCTTTATTAACCTTAAAATTTTAGTACGTTTGGTTTTAATCAGATATGATCTACTTATTGGTTTTCAGAGGTCTGGTAGAGAGAATTTGCGCGTAGGGTTTAACCCACGATTTATTTTTTTCAGGTTAGTAGAGATTCCAGTCTCGAGGTTAAGGATCCGCAGCTGGGAGACTGTCATTCATTTATTCATCTTGTGTACTTTTAAGTAATATTGGATTATTGGATAATATTTTAAGGGGTCCTGGAGTTACTGGATTCTCGAGTTGTAACTGTTGAATAATTACTAATTAATATTTATTTATTAGTTTTCTTCAGCGGTTTATTTATTCTTTATTATTCATCTTGTATTCTGTGCTTGTTTAAATACTTTAATTATTTTGATATCCTTTGGTTTTGTGCGCGAACTTGATCAACCCGTGTTCCGAAATCATGGGGTATCACACAAAGAAGTTCTTGAGAGAACTTGGTTTCAAGCAGCAGAGGTATGTGTTATTTTGTGATAGCCAGAGTGCTATTCATCTTGCTAAGAATTCCAGTTTCCATACAAGATCTAAGCACATTGATGTACGATACTATTGAATCAGAGATGTGTTGAACAATAAGTTACTTAAACTTGAGAAGGTTCACACTGATGATAATGGTTCTGATATGTTGACAAAGACCCTACTAAGAGAGAAGCTTAAAGTTTGTTGTTCGATCGCCGGGATGGCGATTCTCTCCACATAGTCGGAAAGGGGGAGATTTGTTAGGTTTATTTCCTTCTATATGGAGGAAAGCCCAAGTGGGTTTTATTAAAGCCCAAAGCCCAGCTTTTAGGGTGAATAACCCTAAGGAAGTCAGAATAAAAAGGTAAGAGAGATCAGCCGTAGCTGACACAAAAGAAAGAGAGAAAAATGCAATTTTTCTTCACACTGCCCAGATTTCATCAAACCTTTGGTCCCACTTCGTCCATGGTCCGATTGAGCTGAAATTTGGAGGAAAGGTTCATGACTCAATGAGTTAAAATCTGAACGGTGGAGATCGGATTTTGAGCTCGAAAACAGTGATTTGTGCCCGTGAACAGTAACCAGGTTTATGGTATTTTCTCTTTGTTTTTGCCAAGATTGATGATATCTTGATGAGATGTATTGTAGCATCTAATTGCGATTAGAGAAGACTTTGTGTGCCCATTATTTGGTTGATAGTGGAGATTTCAACTGGACTAGGTCCCGTGGTTTTTGTTCCTCACACTAGGGAAATTTTCTACGTAAAAAATTGCTTGTGTTCTTGTGGTTTGGTGTAATTGATTTTCTTTTTTATTATTTTCAGTACATATAAAATTAGAGATACACTATATTTGCTCGCATATAGGGAGAAGAGTTATTCCGCTGTATTTGTTTATTGTTATCTCTCCCAACACCCAAGAATAATATTATTTGAAAAAAATTAAGTTATTCTCGAGCTAAGTTAAAATAGGGTTTGCTTAAATGCGTGTTCAGTTCGAACTTTCTAATGAGTTTAAAAATTTGAGTACAGACTATACACTCGACTTGTGATTATTTAAAAAATTCGTTCAAAGTTAATTTGAACCCTTGTTCAATATTATATTCATGAACTTATTCAATCAACTCTACACAATCTTATATTCGTGATGATGTTCAAGAGTCTATATTTATGAACATGTACGAGCCTACAATTTAGTCATTAATGTGATCACGAGTCAAACCTAATAATATTTGGAATCAATTCCAACTCTAAAAATCGAGTTTGTACTTGCTTCTTTATTACTAAATGAGCACACATGGAGTTTTAAATGAATCAATTTCAAATGATTCATTTGCTTTCCTAATCCTTAATACCAAAATCTTTAAAATAAAAAAATAAAAAAAGGCGTAAATCTAGTATGTGATGGTTTATTTTATCTCTTAGAAGATCTCATATGGTATTTTTATTTTTATTTTTTAACTTCACAATTACAATTATGAATTTTGTAAGTGACAAACGCACTCGGCGTTTAATATGAAATGATTTTAAAAAGAACTGGGTCCAGGTTTGAAGTTTGAACAACTGGACTCTAAACAGTGTCCCTTCGCCTTTTCTCGTGCTCCGTATCAACTTCAAAAAACAAAAAAACAAAAAAAAGAGGTTGAATTTTCTTTGTACGGAAAAACTAAAGCATTGCAAATTCCCAAAAAAAAAACAAAAAGGGTAAAGCAGTTTGGACTTCTATCTTATCCCTCTAGATTCCAACATGTTCAAGTGAATTTTCTCCGATTCTAACACAATCCCTCGCCCCATGGAAGGTATTGCCTCTAATCTAGTTCTCAAATTTTGGGTTTAGTTTCAGTTTCAATAGAACCAGTTCACCCAAAGTCACGCAGACTATGTGTTTGTATATGTGTCTGTGTGTAGTAGAATTGATTCAATTGCTGGGCTTTGATTCTTTTTATTGTTCTTCCAAAATCATTGTTTGCTGCACCAGCAAAAACTGTTAATACAGTTGATGATCCATCATCAGCACGCTTCACATGGAGGGTTGACAACTTTTCCACGCTGAATACACAGAAGCTATACTCTGAAAGTTTCTATGTTGGAGAACACAAATGGTTAATTTTTCATCTCTACCCTCTTTCTAGATTTTGATTTTGATCCTTATGTTTGATTTTTAAGTTTTTTTTTTTTTTTGGTCTGGGAAAGGCGGTTGCTTATATTTCCAAAGGGGAACAATGTGGACCATTTATCGATCTATTTAGATTCTGCAAGTTCAGTAACTTTGCCATCTGGGTGGAGCAAATTCGCGCAATTCAGCTTATCTGTGATCAATCAAATTGATAACAAGTCCACAAAGAAGCAAGGTGTGTGTTTTGCATTTTAATTTACAAATATCTATATATCTTGTACTATATAGTGCTGATCTCTTCCTCCCCGTGGAGCAAGAAAATTCATCCGCACTTTCTATAGATTGAATTTGCAAATTCTTTATCTCATTTGTCTCCCTTTAATCCTAAGTTCTGATTCTTACAAAACTCCCACAAACTATTCACCAAGTCCTTTTAGCAATTTCGTAATAAATCATAGTCGTAATAAATCATAGTCCTAGTCATACATACATCAACGTATTCACATCAGGAAAATCAAACTAATGACATATGAAACATCGACTCAAAAAAATAAAAATAAAAATAAAAATTATTTTCTCTGCACAACACTTCACCCCATAAATTTCAATGGATTAAAATCTATTTTTTCTAATTATTTGTTTGAGATACATGATTTTCAAAGGTGAAGAGGTTTAAATTTTTTTGGAATAATCACCTTTTATTGTTGTAATTAGTGGTATTGGTAAATATTGAATTTAGAAACTAAAATAGTATCAGCGGTTTTGTATTAAAAAGAAATGATGGAAGCGGATTTCTATAATGACAGTTGCATTAGATCTAATGGTCACTATAGAAAGTGCAGATGAATTTTCTTGCTCCACGGGGAGCAAGAGATCACTACTCTCTCTCTCTCTATATATATATGTACACATAGGCTTATATGTTGTGTGGAAATATATTATTTGTCTTTGCAGAATTTGTGCGTTCTATTGGTATTATGATTCTAATCTGTGTTTTACTACTCTTAATTATATGTTCATTTTAATTTACAATTATTGAATGCCACAGGTGTGGAACTTGGAACTTAGCATAAGTTTTAATTAGAAAAGATGTGGTGAATTGATTTTTTATTTCCTCGTGATGGTGAAGGATTGACTAAGTAATTAAATAAGGTGAACCTCTACTTTAGTAATTGGTCATGATGTACTAAATAATTAAATGATAATTATCTCTACATACCACCTGATTGTTACTGTTACTGAGTTCGTTACTGTCACCTATTCATCAACCTTCTCCGTGATGGATACGTCTCCCCGACCATTTTTCCAAGAACACTGACTAAGTTCTCAATTGATCTAATCTTGCCTTGTATATGAAATTTACCTGTTCTATCAGCTTACACTGATACCAAAGGCTCCTCTCCCTTACCAGTTGTAGAAGGCCAAAAACGATACTCAACATTCATCCAAAAGAAGGAGAAGAAATAAGTCTGAATAAGCATCATTAGTTACAGTCAATTAACTGCCACTCAGACAGTAAGAATCTCAATCCTGCAGCCTTTCTTAGAAGTGGTTAATGTGTAAATTGTCTGTAATGAAATGCAATCACATGTTGAATGGCATGGAAATATATCCTTAATTTTATAATTTTCAGGCTAGAATTTGCCCAAATGTAAGGTATATTGGAGACAAAACTGATTTTGTTGATGCATTGACTGTATTCACTGGAGATACTATATGTTTTTTGTTTTGGTGTTGAAAAATATAAACATTTAATTTGCTTTAAATGCTTATCAGATTGATATGGCATAATACTTCACTGGATAATCAACCCTAAAATAGATTGATTCTGATAATGTTAAACGGATAAATTTTTCATGCAAATTATATCTTTACTTCTTTGTATGTATTGGCTGAGCCGCATATACGATAAGGACGCATTGTCCCCCACCACCAACAAAACAAAGTTTTCAGTGCCATCTTTTAAAAGAAATTAAGGTGGCCCCTGCAAAGTTTTATCTCCAATCCTAAATTCAATTTCTTTTCCATCCTTTACTTGGCACTCCATTTTCAAAACCATACCTCTACTAGTCTATAATCTATATGTCTTATATACTGAAACTATAGGTGTGTGCCTAGTTGTTGAGGTTCACTGCAGTTCTAGTTGTAGCCTACAGCCTTTGACCTTTTTGTGTTATATTTTGTGATAATTGTGACTGTTTTCATTATGCAGACTTTAAACACCGGTTCAATGCACGAGAAAGAGATTGGGGTGGGCTTGAATTAGTGCCTCTTAGTGAACTGTATGACCCTGGTAGAGGTTATCTTGTGAACGATACATGTGTTGTTGAAGCTGATTTCCCTGGCTTCCGTTCAGTTGAACTTAAGGTTGAGGCGGCAAAGACTGCCTCAGGCAGAGATGAAACTTCTAATTCTTCTTCTCAAGGGGATATTGATGGGAGGATTAGACAGAATGATTCTGATACTGTTACAACCCTGCCTCAGACTGATACCTCGGGCCCTCCTCCTGCCAGTAAATCAGCAACTGAAGTGATCAAGTCTTCGGTCCCACCAGCCACTCCAATTGTTGAAAAGGAATCAATGGTTAATTCCCCTCACGCCCAAGATCCGGTCAGCAGCTTTTCTCTAGTCAATCAACAATGTTCTTTTTTTTCTTTGTTTTTTTAAATCTTTGAGAGAGAGAAAAAAAATAATAATAATAAAAAAAAAAACACTCTTTGACCTGAGAGTCAGTTGCTAAAAAGAAATTTCTTTTGTAATATTTGTAGGAAGTTGAGTTGCCAAGGAGTCTTCCAATGGGTTCTCCTCTTGAGTCATCTTCATTTGATGACATGGATGCCTATACCTCCAAGTTGGTGTCTGTAGTAGAGACTGATGCACATTTTGACTCCACTACTGAAGGATCGGTCGTCGCCTCCATTCCTCAATCAACTGTTGATGAAGCCAAAAAATTCTTTATAAAGATGTTATCTCGGGACCTATCAGAAATTCCTGATTTTGCCGCACACATTACAGAATCCATCCGTGTCTTGTCAGAGTGTCATGACCTCACTCCAGCCCAGCTTGCACAGCTGAAATCCCTCAAGGTTGAGTTTACATCAGTTCTCAAAACTTTGACTTCCAACCATTCTTTTAAGGAGGTCGAGGAAAAAATAGCAGAAAAGCGAGGAACACAGAAGTGTTTGGTTGAGCAAGTCAAAATTAATGCATTCGCGTTCCAAATGCAGAGAGCTATTCACAAGGACTTGATCTCGGAGGAGGCAAAGCTTCAACAAGAGGTTGAGCGGCTGCAGGCTGAACTGGCTAAGATTTCCGAGAAGAAGAAAAGTGCTGGGAAAGAGATGAAGCAACTGCATGGGAAGATGGTTAATCTAGAACAGTCTAGGTCCTCTGTTCTTGAGGAGATCTCAACCCTTGAGACCGAGAAGACCGCGGAGAGCTCTCTGTCATGGGTCCAGCAAATGTGGACTGAGCTTAGAGACACATTCATGATACCAAACAATTAATCTCTTTTTATTTGCAAGATGAAAAACTTTTGTTGGTCTACTGTTATATTTCTCTCTAAGGGCCGGTTACATTCTACCTTAAATTTCATGTTTTTGGATATTTTTGACTTATTTCTGGTCGGTTGGGGTCAATATTCTTATACTTTTAGTCCTGCAATTCTACTTTAAATTGCACTTGTTTCTGGATTAATGAATGTGATTATCCTTTTTACCTTAGACCCATCTTCTTTTATTTTTATTATTATTATTATTATTTTTTTATTTTATTTTTTATTTTTTTGATTGGTTCTGTTATTGATCTATATCAAGCCTTTTCATGGGTTGGTTTCTTCAGGTAAGCCTTTTCACAGTAAGAATTATTTTAGTAACTTATATAGTTAGATAATTTCTCGTTTAGAAAAGTATTAGCATATATTATATTGTCGTTGATATTGAAATCTCATAATACTTTACTTTTTCTTCATTCCTAATATTTATAGGGCTCGCCAATAAACATTCTTATATAATTCCAAATATTTTTCTTATAACCACCAAGTAATACAAAAATGTTTGACAAAAATTTTTCTTATATTTTTATAGCTCCACCCACGTACGCGGCTTGGGACTGTGGGATGGTACTAGGGGCGAAGCCAATTAAGGCCCAAAGGGGGCACGTGCCCCCCTTACTTTACTCCAACCTACTATACATAGGTACATATTTTTGGTATATATATATATATATATATATATATACTTACATGGTAATTTTAAATAGTGCCGCCCTCAAATTTTCAAATTCTTTTAATTTCCTTTTGAAAAAAAAAAAATTACATACTCTTCTTCAAATATACAATATATTTTTCTTTTTCTAATTTTTGTTTCCTTTTCAAAAAATTTCTTTTTTCACTTATGTATAATTATGTATTTTTCTATTTTTTTTAAACTTATTTCTTTTATCGATGACATTTGTGATTGTATTTAATTAAAATATTATTAATTAATATTTTGATTCTTATATTTGTAACTATATTTTTTTTACAGTATTTATTTAATATATTATTTTACAACTATTTTTTTCTTATTTGCCCTTTTGATTTAAAAAAAATTATATTATCATATTTATTAAAAAAAAATAAATAAATAAAAATAAACAAGTGCATTGTGCCCCCTCTGAAATAAAATCCTGGCTCCGCCCCTGGATGGTACCTCTCTTTTTGATCAGGTGTGGGAGGGAAAATAATTTTTTTTTCTTAATTATAAAGTAATAAATAATAATTTCATTTAAAAAATTAAATTGATAGAAGGATGTCGAAGTGGCAGCTCTAAGTATCCAAGATTCAAAATAATGTGAAATTGCGACGTATAACGTGTTTTATGTATTACATTAACATATTGTTATATAGTCCCTCTGTCCCAATTGTTATCCACTTCATAAACTGTGACTCACAATTATGTGAGTTACAATTTACGAAGTGGACAATAAAAATGGGATGGTAGTAATTATTATCATTTTTGTCTTTATTTCCTATAAATGGGTCAACCACGTTTGCTTGTTTTTTTTATTTTTATTTTTTATTTTATTTTTTTTTGCACTTTTTCTAAGTCATGTATTCTACTTAGATTTAACATTTTTATAAAAATTTCTTGGGCTAATTCTACTTACACCCCCTAACGTTTGCCTATATTCCACTTACACCCTCTTTACGTTTTAATATTCCACCTACCTCCCTTGAGGTTTTGGTTTGTGTAGCAAATTATCCCCTGACGTTAAGCAACTCACGGTGTGTGCTGATGTCAGCATCAGCAAATTGTCAGAAAGTCAATTTTGCCCTTCTAATGTCTAAAATGACGTCTTTAACCTCGTTCACCAATATGCAATTACAAAACTGTCCTTAATTTGTTAACTCAAGTGTACAATAATACCCTTCCTTTCACTTCAATATATATATATATATATATATTCATATATATATATATATATTCATATATCATTTTCAACCTTCCGCACACAGACCCATGTAATTCTATTCTAGGGTCAGGGATTGGTTATATCATCGTTTTCTCTCTACCCTCGAAGCAATTGTGGAGCCCAAATTGGTCCTTCATTTTGCTGGCTTCAAGCTCTTAATTGTTGTGTTCTTAAAGTGGTTTGTCGATTGAGAGAGGCCAAAGTTTCAGTTTGCCCAAGGGTCCAGGCTTACGTAAGCTAAAAAGTCACGGTCGAGGGTTCCGACGTCGAGCCTGTAATCCGACGTCCGGTCACCGAGAGACATTGATTGTGATACCGTAAAGGTTGTAATCCAACACCTGCCGCTGACATCAACTTGTTCTTCAGCTTCGTCTTTCGCAATCAACTTCGCCTTCGATTCTTTGCCATCGACGTCCATTTCGGTAGTGGTGGCGGCGGAGGAGTCGTCATCGACTTCATTTTTCTTCACAGGAATGGAATCAGATTCTTGGGGTTGTAATGGTGATGGTTCGGATGGTGACGAAGTTACAGAGCTATGCTGAATTCTTCTACAGAGCTCTAGCGTGTCTATGGCCGTTTTGAATTAGGTTTCACCAAGGTGGGTTGAGGAATCGCTGCTCGCCAGACTAAATTGGGTTTGGTCAAACTTAGTTTGTTTTAGCTTTGAGAACGACTGAATCGCTGAACTGGGTTTCGTATAACTGAATTGTTGCTCGCCGGACTGAAAAAGGAGGAATCCTTAGTTCAGTCCAAACGCCGGACTTCAACGCCGTCGAATCTACGGCCGCGTAGTCATCTTCGTAAAGTTGGACAAGAACGGGGTAAGCCAGATCAAAGACGCCGGCGGCGAAGTTCACAGCTACCTCGACCTAGTTCAGTCCAGCGATCCCAAGTCCGGTGAAGCTCAATTCAGTCCAGCGAAGCTTTGCGGTTTGTTCACTGCACGTTGGTGGTCTTGTAATGGAGGATGACGGCTGTGATAAGAACCAGCAAACTATCCTTGCAATTGAATGGCTGGCAGTAAGGATTGAATTTTGAACGGCGGTGTGTCCTTGCAATTAAACAGCAAGCAGTAAGGAGAACGCCTCAGCTGTGATAAGAACCATTTTTTTTTATGCTTACTGTTTGTGTATTATATTGGTGGCATAGTTTCTTCGTCACTGACAATAATGAAGAAGAAAGGGAAAAAAAAGGAAAAAGAAAAAGAAAAAAGATATACATATATATATACAAGCACTATATATATATATATATATATATATATATATATAGTGCTTGTATATATATGTGTGTGTGTGTGTGTGTGTGTGTGAGTAGAGAGAGAAATTTAATGGTGTTAAACAGAGGGTGTTAAAGTCTTTTCTTTTAAGTTATGAATTTTAGTAAAACAGTAAAATCACATATTTCCATTGGTAAACTAGATAGTGGTTACTGGTAGGGGGTGTAGGTGGAATTATGAAACGTAGAGAGGTGTGTGTGGAATATAGGCAAACGTTAGGAGGTGTAGGTGGAATTAACCCAAATTTCTTATCACGTCAGTCAACTGTCTATGTTGACCTCTCTGTTTCTTACCTTTCTCTTTCTTACTAGACTACTGGTGAATTTCTAGATTGGAGTTAGATATCTCCTACCATCTACGTCTAAAGTAACATTCTTGTAAAATGAGTTTTTGATCGATCTCCTACCGGTGGTGTAGGTTTTTTCAGCCGGTTCATCCTCGGATCAACTTGCAGCGTTACCTCCGGTTTAACAACGGAGATCAATCACAAACTCCATCTCTAGTTGAAACTATCTTGTACTGATTTGGGTATTAATAGCCATTTGATTCCGTGAATTATTCCATCTGGATGAACCACATCGTCGGGATGACCACCCTCGCAGTACCGACTAACTTGTGCTTCGAATCTTCATTGAGTCCGACCAGTGGCGTAGCCAGAAATTTTCTTCTTTTGGGGGTAATCTTTAATAGCAATAATATATATATATATATATATATATATATATATATATATATATATATATTATTTGAACCAAAACAATATATGTAAAAATTAAATCATTAATTCATAATATTTCTATTTAATACATTCACAACAATTTTTCAAATTATTCACTATTGTTTCAAAATTGAGTTCATTCAATTAAATGTACTAAAAAAAAATCATATTCAATGAATCAAGAATAAGATATGAAAAAGAAAATAATACAATTACCTAACTGTTCTAATATATCACATATGTGAAAAAAAATAAAAACATAAACTAAAATTTAAAAGGACAACAAGCCCTAAAATAATTTTGATAATAATAACTAATAAATTTTGTAATTAAAATTATAATATCAAATAATAATAAATTTAGATGATAAAAAAATATCAAATTTCCTGTCTGCTTACTATTGACTTAGTCTCTGTCTACTGGTAAATGGTTGCTCCGCTTGCTTTATTTGGATTGTGAAAAATGTTGAAGAGGAAGATGAAGATGTGATGGAAATAATCCATTTGTTTATGGTAAAGTCAAAAAGTGTGATAGAATATCTTGATGAATTTTTTTTTTTTTGGAAAGTGTTAAAGAATATAATATTTTGGGTGGAAAAAATATCATATTTTTTTGGAAAGTATAAATTGATAGATATATTATATATATTTACAATTGTGTCACGATTATATTCCTCTCGTGAATGGGCTTTTGGTTATATATACATATAGTATATTATGTGTGAACTGTCAAATTTTAGAGGGGGCAACAATACAAATATAAAAATCTTTCCATATAAAATTAAAAAAAATTAAAAGTTCAGTGGAGGCAGTTGCCCCAACTTGTTCCTTTGTGGCTACGCCACCGAGTCCGACGGTCTGGTGAGCGAGCATGAAGTGCTGAGTTAGCTCAAAAAATGAGTCGACCTATTCGATTGAATGAATTATTTTAGGGACGATGGGGTGGAGCAAGAGGGTCTGGAGTAAGCCTGTCAACAGATCAGATCGATTAAATCCATATTCGATTTGTTAAGCAAACAGATTATCGGATTCGGATCACTAACGGGTTCTCGGGCTGAAAGTCCCAATCCATATCCTATTTAGTTCGGACGCGGATCGAATCGGATTCGAATTCGGATTAAAATCATATTTACTAACATATATAATTTTAAAGTTAGATGAAGCGGAGAATTTCTAATATACTGAATGCTACATAATATAACTATGCAACTAAAATGAATATAATGATAAATAATTAATATATATAAATTTAGTAATATATAACTAATATAT